AACCTTAGTGGTCTCCTTCCTCCGTGAACACCTGATGGGTGCATTGATTGTACTTCACAGGCTAGCCTAACACAGAAGAGGTACTCCGTTAAAAAAAAAAAAAAGATAGCTTAACAAGTGAATGAATGAAAAATGATTTGGAAGGTAGTCAAAGCTACTAGGAAAAAATTTAGAAAGGAAACCATTCAGTGTGACCCTAACCTGAATATATATTTAATCATTCAACTATTAATAATTTTTCATTGAGTGTATGCTATGCCAGGTCCTGTGCTGTTCTAAAGATACAAAACAGATATGGGTCCCTACTCTCAGAAACTGTACAGTCAGACAGTATTCCTATAATTACAAGTGTGACGAATGATGCAAAGACTGAAGCAGACCCACCTGGGCAGTGGGTGGGCAGATGCCACTTATGCCAAGATCTGACAGGTGATTAGAGTTAGATAGGTAAGTATGGAAGGAAGAGCCTTTTAGGTAAGGGAGTAGCATGTGCAAAAGTCCTGCAGGATGAGGAAGTGTGGTGTATCAAAGGGACCAAAAATACCAGAGCTGGAGCTTAGAGAGTAACAAAATATGAAGCCAGGGAAGTAAATGGGAGACGGATCACAGAGGGCTTTGTAAACCATCCTGTGTAGTCAGAGTGGGCTAGGTTGTGTGCAGTAATAAACAGCACCAAAGTTTCAGTGACTTAACAAAGAAAAAGTTACTTCTCACCCACATTACATGATCAGCAGAGGATGATGAGAGGATGATGAGAGGCTCTGCTCACATAGTCACTCAGGCACCCAGTCTAATAAGGCTGGGCCATCTTGTAGCTGCACGATCTGGAACCTGTGGACTTCCTGGTTTCCGCAGTAGGAGAAGAGGGAAGAAGAGTGAGTTGTGTATCAGCAAATAAATGCCTCAGCTCAGAATTGACAATTGTCACTCCCACTCACACCCCATTGGCCCCACCTGACTTCAAGTCAGCTGAGAGGAATAAGGGAACACATGGAATATTTGGTGAGTATCATTGTCTCTGCCGTATTATAAGGAGTTTAGATTTGATGCAAAGGCAGATAGAAGCCATGGAAAGGTTTTAAGGGGTCAGATTTGGAATTCCTTTTAAAGGCTGCTCTGGCTGCAGTGGGAAGAATAATTTGAAGAGGAGGGAGAAGAAAACAGAAAGATTAGTTAGGAGGCTACTGCACTGCCCAATTAGGAGATGATTATGGCTTAGACCAGTAGATTGGAAACAAGTAGATTCAAAGACCTTTCAGGAGGTAGAATCCATAGGACTAGGAGATTGACAGGAGTGGGGAGATTGACAGGATTGGGGAGAGGAAGTAGTCAAGGACAGCCCCACTTTCTGATTTGTGTACCTGGGTCAGTGGTGGAGGTCTTTGCTGGGTCAAGCAAGCTTTACTGAGGAGGAACAGTTGTGATGATTGGCAGACAAGGGTTGACTCTCCAAGGACAGAGATCAGCTGCAATTAGTACCTAAATGGACACATAGGAGGTGCTTACATTTTTGCAGAAATTTCTGCATGGTCTCCTGAATTATTTTTTGAGATGCTTCTTTATAGCTCTGGGGGATGGAGGGAAGGCACCACTCATATTATTACCCATTTCTGAAACCTTTCTTCCCAAAACTTCTACATTTAATAATTATTCATTTGGATACTCTCTCTACCACTTCACCTCTAAAATTAGTGATTATAAGATCCCTCAAGATTATCATTAAACTAGCCATTGCTTCATTTGTTCTCCTAATTGCTAGGAGGGGAAAAAGATAATCAAGTGGTTGCTCTAATCTGGGAAACTGGTTTTCAAAAATTACTTGAAATCTAAATAGAGCTTTTTAAAGCACTACTTAAATTTTGACTTCAGTCATTTCATTAAGACTAGCACTTGCTGAGAACTCTTTAAATAAGTTTTAATTACTAGCGCCATGCAAAGTAATTGGAAGGAAGGAAGGCCTTCTTACGAGGGTGACGTGGGGTGTTTTTGGCATAAATGGGATTTTTCTTGTTAATGCATCATTTGATTTATTGAATTGTACCTGCATTAAAAGGTGGTAAAGCAAAGGCTGAATTTATGCCCATTCTTGTTAGGACTTCTCCAACGGGGCCTGCCTGGCTTATGTGAACTTTGCTCAGCTCAGTGAACCTCAAAGATATTGTTTCAAGTGAGTGGGTGCGAATCTAAGAGACCTGCAGTTGTTCTCCAACAGAGCTATTAATCATGTTGGCAGAGGACAGGGAAGATGCAGAGTCTCATGGGGCTCTTGTCAATGCTGATGTCAGAAAAGCTGACGGTGGTGCTCACCTGGGGACAGAACAATTAGGTCGAAGCAGAAAAAATTAATTTATTTCATTAAAGCCATGAATGGCTATATAAAGAACTTTACTCATTCAATTCAAAGAGTGTACATTGTCTTTTTATTGAGTGAACAATGGAGGAACAGGTGCCCTGGGATGTATAAGGCATTGTTCTCAGGCCAGGCTGCCATCAGAGTCTGCCTAAACAATTTTAATAACTTCCTAATTGGTCTCCCTACTAAGTGCTATTCTGGCACTTCTGAGTAACAGCCAGAATGAGCTTTTTATTTGTTTATTTTTATTTAAATACAGTAAAATTTACTCTTTTTGGTGTTTAGGTCTATAAATTTTGATAAATACATACAATTGTATAACCACGCCATGATCAAGATATGGAATAGTTCCAACACTCTCCCCCCAAATCCCTCATGCTCCCTCTTTATAGTCAATCCCTTCCCTGACTCCCAACCCGTGGCAGCCACCAGTCTGTCTTCTGCTCCTATAGTTTTCTTTTCCCAGAATGTCATATAAATGGAATCACATGAAGTGTAGCTTTTTGAGTCTGGCTTCTTTCATTTTGCATCATGCATTTGAGATTATCCATGTTGTTTTGCGTATCAGTAGTTCATCCCTTTTTATTGTTGAGTAGTATTTCGTTGTACAGACATACCAGAGTTTGTTTATTCATTCGCCAGTTGAAAGACTTTAGGGTTGTCTCCAGTTGTTGGCAACTATGCATAAAGCTGCTATAAACATTTGCATCCCAGTGTTTGAGGGAACGTAAGTTTTCATTTCTCCTGGGTAATTACCTAGGAGTGGGGTTGCTGGGTCCGATGCTAAGCATGGTTTGACTTTGTAAGAAATTGCCAAACTGCAGCAGGAACTTTTAAAAGCACAATTCAGATCACATCACTCCTCTACCTAAATCTTGCCAAAGGCTTCCTATTATATTTAGAATAAAACAGACACCTCGCCCCTCGGCCCTAGAGGTCCGACCCTGCCTGTCTCTGTGACCTCCCCTTTGAACACCTGCTCCTCACCTGCTCTGTTCCAGCCTTCTTGGTTTCTTTCCTCTGTCTTTTTTTCAAACAGGCTGAGTTCTTTCCCTCTTTAGAACTTTCCCACAAGCTTGCAATCCCTCTGCCTGGCATGTTCTTGCCCCTGTTTTCACATGGCTAGCTCTTTCTTGTCATTTGTTCTCTCAGCATAAATGCTGCCTTCTCAGCGGGTCTTCCTTGCCCCCCCAATCTAAGGTAGCTACTTCTCCTCATCACTATGCATCACATCTCAGCGCTTATTACTGCCTGATATGTTCTTGTTTCAATGGCTCTGTCATTTATAAAGTCACCCTGTGCAGGCTTCAGATTTCTCATCTTCAAAGTGGACAGAATAGTGTCCGCTCCCCTACTTGATGAGTTTTTCACAATATGACAAGCTTCTTGAGGCAAGAATTATATCTTTAGAATTTTCTCTCTCAGCTGCTTTAATCCTCTGCGCATTGTCATTAAAAGTTCTTAAATAGGCAACTTCCCTTTTACCTCTAGAGTTGAATTTCTAAATTAGACTGAGACGTGTGGTTTTAGAGGGCAACACGTGACAATTATAATAATGAAATTTAAGTAATCGTCCTGAAATATAAGGGTTATTCACACAAATCCTTGTTTCATCAACATGTTTCAGATTTCTAAAGGAAGTGAACCCACAGGGGCCCTCAGTGAGGAGGGCACTTGGAAGATATTTCTTGTGGGAATTTTAGTGGGGAAGGCAGACAGTAACACAGTGCTGTGCTCCAGCTGGCTGGAGCTACATGGCAAGAGCTGGTTGTTACATTTTCAGGAATTTTGCTGGCCAGTTGTTAAACCATTGGTAGGTTGGTAAACTCTACAAATCAGTGTCTTTCTTTCTTTCTCTCTCTCTTTCTTCTTTCTTTCTCTTTCTCCCTCCCTCCCTTTCTTTCTTTCTTTCCTTCCTTCCTTCCTTTCTTTCTTTCTTTCCTTTCTTTCTTTTCTCTTTCCTAATTTACCAGCATGTCACTGACTAAGAGGTCTAGAACAAGGAAGAATGGTGATGAGATGAAAGTATTTAAAGGAAGTAGTAAAAGACAGTTTTAGCATAAGGGATCTGGGTCCTGAATGCATTTACATTCTAGCTTGTCAAATGTGTGTACTTAAGCAACTTCACTCACCCATTATTCCACAAACTCTCACTGAGCATCCACTCTGGGATACAGGAGAGAATAATGTGTAGAAGGTCCCTGCCCCCAGGTGGCTAGCAGACCAGTAGGAGAAAGGCAAGTGAATGCTTATGGTATGGACTGGAAAATGCAATGACAGGGAAGTCCAGGCGCTGCTGGAGCCCAGCAGGGGATTCTGGAATGACTACTGGGAGAGGGGGGAGGGCCACCAGGTGAAAAGGGCTGGATGTGGCTGGGAGAAATGGGTAAAGGAAGAATACACCCAACCAGGAAAGAGTATCAATGGCTTATTTTTATATTCTTTGTACCTCAGTAAAAAAGTAATGTCTACTTGGCAGGAAAGTTTGAAAAATTTTTCAATAGAGCAAAGTAACTGGGACATGTTGATAAAAGATGGAAGCTGTTACGACGTTGAGCAGGGAATGGCCACCTGAACCAATGACTAAGGAGGTGGCAGCTGACCTGGCTTCAGACGAGCCTGGGTAGGACTTAGCTACTCACGTTAGATCAGGAAGACTAACTTCACATCGGATCTTTTGTCTTTTCAGCCAAACCTCACTGCAAGACACCTCCTAGAGAAGAACAAAGGCCGTCAGTCATCCCGCGCAAAAAATCTGTCTCTGGTGTCCTCATCCTCCAGAGGTAACACACCCACCCTCCGCAGGGGCCCAGGGTCCAGGAGGAAGGGGCCCGGGCAGTTCTCCATCACAACAGCCTTGAACACTCTCAACCGGATGGTCCATTCTCCCTCGGGACGCCATATGGTGGAGATCAGCACCCCGGTGCTCATCAGCTCCAGCAACCCCTCTGTGATCAGCCAGCACGTGGAGAAAGCAGACATCCCTCCCAGCTCTTCAGGACAGGTAGGGAAGAAATCCCTGGGATAAGGGCACCTTGGAGTTGGGCAAGTGATCTGCAGCATGTCACAAGCAATGTTTGATATTTAGTACTTGCTAAGCACACATAATGCACTAATAATAACTAATGTATGTATTGCATATCAGAGCTCTGTATCCATGATTTCATTTCATCTTTGAACAGCCTGCGAGTTAGGTATTATTACTGTTCTCCCCATTTTACAGTTGAGGAAACTGAGGCTTAGAGGGGTGAAACTACTAGCCCAAATTCTCACATACTTTTCTTTCCCTTGCTAAGTGCCATGCAATGATTCGTGTCCCTTAGAGAACTTCCCTCCAAAGAGAGGGTGGCACCCATTTTCCAGAGAGGATTTCAGCATCACAATTTGGGATTCACTATCCCATTCTCTGACAACATATTAGGCATCATGCGGAAAGAAAGCAAAAGAAACAAAAAGAAACTATGAGGTATTGAGTGTTCTCAATTACATATGTAATTTGTGGAGCCCAGTGCAAAACGAAAATGCAGATCCCTTGCTCAAAAATAATTAAGCATTTCAAGATGGCAAGGACAAAGCATTAAACCAAGCGAAAGGGCCCATATGACTATATATGTCACAAACCTGTGAAGCCGGCCCTGGGTGTTTTCGCATGGAGCAGCTAATAACATGATGTATGTACAGCGCTCAGCACCATGATGTCTGGCACACACCAAGCACCAGATAAGCATTAGCTCTCAATACCGCTGTCACTAACCCTGGTCACTGAAGACTGATAAGCCACGAAGCAGTTGTAACAATCCAGAAACAGTATTTCTAACAGCGTGTGGCTATTTAGGCTGAAGAGTGCTTTAAAAGATGAAGCAGTAGAGGGATGAGACAAAGTGTTATAATTAAGAAGAATTGCATGTTGGGTACTCAGCTGAAAACACGCTCTGGAACCGTGCAGGTGGCAACTTGAAAGGATGAACCTCAACTTGCACTGATGTGTTTTTTTCTTAAGAAGCCATAAATCTTGTTTTTAAACATGAATTTCTACCTTGGGATTAAATGGCTTAATTGGACTGTAATCCCTTTTTAATAAGACAAGGAGGAAGGATAAAGTCAAGGGCTCCTCAAAGACCTGTGTGCTATTCTGAAAGGAAAACAATCACCTCCTACGACGTTTTATATCATATACCACTGTCTGGATCTCTGACAGGTCGGTTGCTCACGTATTAATAATTCTGCCCACCACCCGCATCTCACACACACACACTGTCTCCTTCACGTACACTCTCCTTGAATTAAAAAAAAAACCATAAAACTTCCTACATGCATTCCAAACACTTTTTTAAACATACATGCTTTGTGCTCAAAGTTCTCCTCTGCCACAGACAGACACACGCACCACACACACATACACACTCTAAAGTGGGAGCCTTATGACTCACAATTAAGCCAAAGAGTCACCAAATTTTTTGACACCATTCTTTATATATAGACACAGATATGTAAAGCACAGCCCACACTCTGTAGGAATAAGCTAGCTTACTCAGCTGCAAGTTGGCTTCCCAAAAGATTTAGCCAAGAGTCGCTTTTCCATGTGCCTTTTTAATTCTTATTTCTGGTCATTTACCTCATCTACAGAGAGGCCAGACTAGAGTGGGAGAATTCTAGTAGGATTCAAAACAAGTATTATTCCTTCCTAGTTTTCACAAATAGTGAGAGTTCCTAAGTATGGCATTCACACATCCTATACTCAGGGAACCACTGTGCAGTATTGGTACCCTTTCTCAATCCAGATGGCCATGGATAAGTATTTCTACATGTTTGTCTAGGTCTTGTCAAAGCACACTCAATATGCCCCACGTACGAGCTATACCTAAAGATGAGCAGAAAATTGAACAAATGACAAGGTCTGCTTCCTTTTTCTCCAACATCCTTGAGAACTATGATTGTGTCTAGCTTATCAATGCACCACAGGGTGCCTAGACCATAGTAGGTTCTCAATAAATCAAGGAATTAAGACTTGTGACTTAAATATCTGGGTGGATGGTGGTGACATATACTTAAGGATGACTATAGAAGGAATTAGTTTCCCATAGAAAGATCACAGACCAGTGTAACTCTTTCAGCCAATAAACATCTACTGAGTGCTTACAATGTGCTAATAACCACAGTGGGCACTGGCAATTCTACTACCAAAACAACAAGAACAGTAATATTAATCTCAAACTTTACTGAAACTGATATGAGATGGATGGACGGATGATGGATGGAGGGATGGTTGGATGGCTAGACAGATGGTTACATAGATAGACAGCTAGACAGAAGATAGATAGATAGGATGGTATCTTCTGATAGCAAAGTCTTCTTTTGTTGCCAGTCTTTTCTGTTCTGCCATCCATCCTAAAAATGTGGTAAGAGCCTTTGTAGGGGAGGTATTATCACCCCTTTACAGCAAGGTAATTAAGCCCCCCCCTAAAAAAGAAAATCATTTGGCTAAGTTCATGTAATTAGTAAAGAACCTGGATTGAATTTGGAATTGTCTAATTCCAGGGCATAAGTTCTTGGCACTGTGCTATGCTGTCATTATGCCAACTCAGTTTATCCTGGATGTCTGCAGCCTCCGTTTTCTTGGTTGTCTTCACTTGACTCGTTTTCAACTCTAAGACCTTCCAGCATTCTCTTCTCCATTTGCCCCTCAGTAAAGAATCTGTCCTAAGTCTTTTGCAACTGAAGAAGACTTCCATTTACTATTACTTTGTTCCTGTATGAACTACCAACTGTGTCCAAACATCATATATGATGCTGATGGCACCAAGGATAAGCTCTTGCCTGGTTCCTTTCCAGTAGAGACAAGTCTTGGATTGTCCCTCAAGTCTCAAACACCAAAGGGCACCAATTGCTACCTTCTCATAAAGAGAAGCTAGGGCAAGGAATTTTGTTTTCCCTTTGTCAGTGTGTCTTTCCACCTGCGGGAAACCATCTGACACTTCTGGGTAGGGCACCAGGAAGTGACCTCAAAGATGTACTATAACTACAGACAATTGCACTTGAGAACAATTTAGGATTAGACCTGAAGATGCTGAGTAAGTTCCATGGAAAACTGCATGGGAGGAGATTGAGTGGGTGGATTGAGTCCAATGTAGTTGGCCTTTGGGAGACTCTCGGAAATTATTTCTAGGTCTGCACTGAGGAGTGCCTTAGAAGGAGAAAGAAGGTCAACTGCACAGGACACAAGTTAGAAAGAATTCCTTCAGCAGTGCCTCCTTAGGGGAAGTTATGAGTGCAAGGCCAATCCTGGTGATTCTAAGATTGACTTGGTTCAGGATATAGACGGAGCCTGCTTGGCCCCATCTCCCACACGCACAGAACAATGAGGTGTTCTTGTTTTCATAAGAGGTTCTGCTTCCTCTTTCTCCCCTCCTCCTGCCCCCATCTCATCCCACTGCCCATTCCCCAGGCCCCTCCTCCTCTATCACACATCGAAGGTCGTGGAACTATACAACTAGAATCTCTCTTTCCCTCGCCTCCTGCATTCTGCTGGTCAGTAAGCTTGTTTTGCCACCTAAATAGGTATTGCTTTTGTCTAGTCCATCCTACTGCCTTGGTTTGGGTCTTCATCTCTTGCTTAGACTATTGCTCCAGACTCTTTGCTGGCCTCCCAAAGCCCATACTCGGTCACTACCCCTCACTCTGCCCAAACCCTCCACCCCATCCGTTCCTCCAATCATGGCTTCCACATCACCTCTTGAAAACCCAAATCCATTCAGCCGTTTCCCTTCCCCAAACCACCAATAGTTCTCATTATTGAGTGGCCACAAAAAGCTAGCAATTATACTAAATCATTTGCAAACATTATGACTCTCCTCAAAACTGTTCAGAGTAGGTATTGGTATGCCCATTTTACCAAATGGGAAGACTTTGGGACAAAAAGAGTAGGTAATTTGCTCAAAGTCTCAAAGCTAGAAACAGAGCCAGGATTTGAGGACAGACCTAAGTTCTCTTCCCTAAATGTGTTCTTAGCATGGCATTCTAGACCCTCCATGATCTGACTAGAGTTCACCTTCCAGCATCCCAGCACCCCCCACACACAAGCACACGCACAAAAGTTACAGTGGTCTATTCAACACTCCTGAGCATGGCATGCGAGGCCATCTCTTTGCTTTTTGTCCTTGTACCTAGCACAATGCCTGCATTATTCAGAGCAATGAACAAATGTTTGTTGAATAAATAAATGTTATTCCTGCTGGAATGTATTTTTGGTGCATTCACCTGTTGCAGTCATATCTATACCAGAAGGCCCTGTATGCATACAATTTCTTCCAGGAAGCTCTGGCCACCCCTCCCCTGCAGAATTAATCTCTCTTCCCTGGGTTCACAGCACATTGTTTATACTTGTGTTAGAATATACAACACATATATGTGTTAGAATATATAACATCTTCTTTGTACTATAAATACCACACACACACACACACACACACACACACACATATATATCATCACCATGCTCATTGGATTGACAACTACTTAAGGGCAGGGATGGTGTTTTATTCACTTATGTTGCTATTGAGTTTCCAAAACCCCTTTCTGATTACCCAGAAAACAAAGAAATCACAGAGAGGGAGAAAAGCCAGTCACTCAAGTCAGCGTAAGTAATGTGATTCCTTTCCCTACCCTCCTCCAGCCTGGGCGTGGCTAAGGTGATAATGCCAAGTCCAACCATCTTTCCTGGGCTCCTGGGAAGATGATCTGTCATGAAACTTGGGGAATTCTGAAGTCTGTAAAGCTGACTCTTCTTTTAACCCCATGTTTGAAATAGTCTGGGAAAAAAAAAAAAGTTTCTAGGAGCTAGAATTATTATAAGTCCAGATCTTCTCCAGGGGTATCCCTTTGTCCCTGACTTTTATAGGGGTCTCCCAACCCAACTTTATGGTACTCAGGGATGCCATGAAAAATGGTTTTTACTTATTATTAAGATCATTTATTTCCTTTGGACACCCTCTTAATGCAAATTTA